AGCGGCGGCGAGGTGGGCTATATACATCACCAGGCGGTTGGTGATGCAAATTTTCATCTTCAAGTTTTGTATTTTACATCACTTAGAGGAGGTGATGTAAATTGTTTTACATCTATATGATCTGTTGGAGATGAGTTTTTAGGCCTCGGGGATTTAAAAGTTAGCTGTTTTTACATCTAAATTTTCTATTGGAGATGCTCTTAGGGGAAAAACGAAGGTTTCACAGGCCGCCTCAAGCTCGTTACCAAGAAAAGTGCTAAGCACCATATGTTGGTAGCTCAATAGAATTTAACTTCTCTATAGGTGCGAGCAATGTATGAAGCTAGACACATGGACGTTTTTTCAGAAGAAGTTCATATTATACCGATAATTCAAAACAGTGCCCAGGCTCATCTACTCCCGATGAACAATAAATTCAAAAAAATAGCAATAAATTCAAAAATATCTGAAATTTTTACACATGAAAGTTCAGAGAATCTTCTAGGTGCGTGCAAAATTTCAAAGTGTTTGGACGTTTGATGAGCTCGTCACAAAAAAAAAAAAACCAGTCCACACAGTGCACTTTTTGAAAGTTTCTTTGACGGGCCAAATTTGTTATTTTTGACACGAGCTCCTAAAATTTCCAAACACCTTGAAATTTGGCACGCACATAGAAGATTCTCTCAATTTTCATGTATAAAAATTTCAGGTTTTTTTATTTGTTTACTATGTTGTATTATACGCCTTTTTTACGTCAGAGACCAGGCCACCAAGTTTCAACAAGGGCAAGGTGCTCAGATCGATAGCATTCACCAGAGAAGCATGGGCAAAGTTTTTTTTTGGAGGTCTTGAAAGTCCCAACAAATTATTATCCCCTGAGTTTTGAAACCCCTGTCCTATTCTATGGTCAGGGCAAAATCACTGTTTTGATCTTCGGTGACAAGTTTAGCACTGAAACTATTTTACGACTGAAGTACTGAACCCCTCTAATCTACTCCCTCCGTCCGAAAATACTTGTCATCAAAATGGATAAAAAAATATGTATCTAGAATTAAAATACATCTAGATACATCCTCTTTTATCCATTATGACAAGTATTTCCGGACGGAGGGAGTATCACCGAACACCGTGGCAACAGAGTAGACGAGCTGCCATCATAGTCAACAGTGGTAGCCCATTTGATCCGTCGACGTCGACAAAAGCAAAGCATGGCAGCCTACCTCCGACGGCATCGGCGGTAGAGTCTCAAGGCTACCCTGCAACGGCGTGATAAGCACGACCACGAGAAACATGCATCCCGTGTGTGTGGGGCACGCCTGGTACCAAACTCACTGACCATTGTTCTCGGGAAGATAGCATCTGGATCTCCAAATAAACCAAGCAACTCATACGGGCACATGAATTATGGAGTCAGATTCGCCCTCGCGGAGGCATGATGACCATGACGCCAGACTGCAACCTTGACGGCCATTTTCTCCTCGGCGGCATGTGCGCATTGTCCTGTATGCCTTGCTTTCACAGGCATGATGTCAAGGGACGGCGTTTTGAAAAAAATACAGGCACATCTACTGTATGGATATAAAACACCATTCGACCTATACTTTTCAACTTCCTAACTTCTTTTCCAAGGGAACAGAAACCAGTCTGCAGCACCATGGAAATATAAGTTTTGCATCAGTGACAGAAACCATAGTTTCACTGTGATACAGGAAGACAAAGTACAGCCCCATTCGCATGGTTTACAGATCAAATGAAATCACGTGCACGCAGGCAGGCGGCATGTGTCGGAATCAGCGAAGCAAGAACCGGACTGCGGCAACAGCGTCGCCCTTGTGCTCTCGGAGTGTCCTCTCTGCGATCTTCTTGTCCAGCTGCACATTCAGAGACAATGTTTTAGAAGGGACATTATTTAGAGCATTAGGGAAAAAAATAGCTGCAAGCGAAGGTTTCAGATGCCACCTCAAGTTCATTGGCAATGATTTCAACGTCGGTAGGGTTGATCTTGACAGCAGCTAATTCTTTCTCCCTGGTGAAAGAGCAAAAAGAAACACCCGTTATGTTATAACAATGCCATGAGTGGGATGCAAGCGGGCGTCCCCGCATATCCTGCATAAGTAGAGAGTTAGTTCAATCTAAGCTCAATCTGGGTGGGGAAGTTATAACTAACGTGATCCATTTTGACTATGAAGCGGAGCGGATCAGGCGCCGCTCTGCACACCCCTAATCATGAGCTGTGAACAACATTTTCAGGAGAAGAAGGCCAAACCCATTTATCTAAAAATGAGGATACTATGTACTTCCCAAGGCCATTGTCTTTGTTTCAAATTGGAGCTGATATGTCATGGAAATACTATGGTTGAGTTTAGTTTATGCCCAAGGTTGCCCTACCAAAAAGTTTGGTGTGCAATACCCATGGATTGGTCAAGATTGGCCAGAAAAAATAACTAGAATTGGCAAATGAGCATTGGCATGCCAAACAGCTAGCAACTATCTAAACATAGAACAATTTTTGTTATGGTAAAAAAACTGGTAAGGTGCACTTTGGTAATAATCCAAACATACCATTAACCAGAAACATGGAATCCCCAACAAAATAGATCATGGGATATTGCAAACTCGAGCGCAAAAATTACAAGGTACTCCCTCCGTTCACAAATATAAGATTTTCAAACTTTTTTCTGAATCGGATGTATATACACATGTTTTACTGTGTTTGTTCACTTATTTCAGTCCGTATGTGGTCCATACTGAAATATCCAAAACATATTATATTTGTGAACGGAGTACAAAGGATCTAAGTTCCACTGCCATCATGCTAGATTTTCTTGTCTTTCCCGTTCACTTATTTATCCTTACTTGTTTTCTTTTTCTTTCATCAAGTTGAAAACCTATGTGATGACAGGATATTGAGCAAAACTGCAACCTGCCTGTGTCGCTGGTTTGTTCTCTTTTTTGTAAAATGCTAACCGATCT